AAGATTTGAAAAATTACAATGAAATAATTTCAAGCTATTGCTATCTTCTCTTATTGCATTTAACAACTTTTGATTGCGTTTCAATAGCGAAGATTTTGTCATAATTTCATAACATGAATAATTTTTTCTATTGTTAGCCAATCTGATCGCCTGTAAACAAACGTTTTACCTCATTGGGAGAGCGATAATACTTGACTTTAATTATACAGTAAATAAAATGTAGAATTTGTGTGACAATTTAATGAGCAATTTGTGGAATTTGTATTTTATTTAAGTGCTATTAGCTAATGATATTGCATCCAACCAACATACTATATTGTATATAGTAATAACAGTTGTGCAAACGAAGCCTGTGTCGAGAGTGAATGTATTTATTGGCGTGAATGTGTGATGTGAGAAAGTCGACGCGTAAGAAATGTGTAAGGGGTGATGGAGGAATATGGAGTACGCCATCACCCTAATTGAATGAATAGTAAGTAATAGAAGCTAATGTATTTAAGAACGAACGTATGAATGAGTTTGGAACTGCATGCGTTGGATGCTGATTTGACCTGGCTGTTGACAGCACCCAACCTCGGTGGCTGGACGGATAAGAGGTCTGCCCTCGGTCTGCCAACATCCGGGGTGGGTGATTCTCGAGTCCGTCGGCAATTTACTGTAAATAGCAAAAGCTGGCATTTCCGGTGGACTACGAGCCAGGAGGCTCAACTCGGCACTGTATGTGTGTCAGTACATGTGCGGATTTGAACCTAAACAAATCCAAATCCAAATCCAAAAATCCAACCAACTGTTCAAACAAACTTTATTTATTAGCTGTATTTTAATCAAAACATAATTATTTGAAATTTTTAAAGGAAAACAAAGTCAACTGATTAGTAAAACTTTTTCAAATAATATAGATCAGGCCAGGGCGTTCCGTGGACCGACGTTACAGGCATCGCGGGGATGCACGAGCTGATCTCTCACGAAGACTGTAGTATTAATAAGAAGATCCATTGAAAGGTGAAAAGCATAATCTAGAAAATGAGTAGTTGATGTTTGGTAAAATCGTTATTTCAGGGGCCACTTCATCGGGACTTTTACCGGATGGTGATAAGCCTCCTGGACGGCGTCCACGAATAGTGGATACATATTACATCAACCAAGTTACGGGGAAAATATGTGTACACTCGGACATAAATACAGTACAAGAAGGACGATTTACCTATCCTGACTCTCAACCTAGGTAAAATTTCCAGGAAATCGGAAGGTCATAAATGAGTATTGATAAGATGGTACAAATGGCTATATTATCCATTTTACCTTAACATACCATGACATACACAGCGTCATTGGCACAAAATCGGACAATAGAAACGAGAGGAAGGAGATAAGGCAGAATAAAAAATAAAGAATGAAAAGTTTTTCATATAAAACCGACCCCCTTCCATTAACGGGAACCAAAATAATATACTGTACAGCATAGTATTTTTTTTAATATAACCAGAAATCTGCACATGCTTTTACGTATATTCACACACATGTGAAGAGTTGAGTTTATCACTTCTCGAGGTTCATCGGCTTTTGTAATTTACAATAAATTGTCGTAGACCCCGAAAATCAACCACCGAGTGTCTTACCAGTCCAACCACAGAGTGGTATCAACATCTAGGTCAATTCAGCACCTAACATACCCAGTTCTTAGATTCAAACATTCTAATATTCTAACACCTAACATTCTCACTCATTCTTAATACGTTTTTTCATACACACCATTCATACAATTGGTGGTGAAATGTTCTACATTCCTGCATCATCCTTTACACCTATTATGTATCTACTCTAATTGAAGGGTACTCAATATTCTGCCATCCGCCGTCTTACACTGCACAACCATGCCAATAAATGCATTCACTCTCAATATCACCCAATAGTATCAATACTATTATATATACAATAAAACAGCCCTCTTTCCTCCACAAATCGGAAAACCCAGATACAGCCGTCGTCAAGTATACATAAAGTGGCTTTCCTAAACGCTCTCTATAAAGAGCCAAGGATTGCACCATTCAATTAGGCGGGATAGTATATGTCCTTAGTATATGTCACATCATTCTTCCCTACTAAATTTAAGTGATCCAAATCCAAAAACCAAATATCTTTTTATAGATATGACTGAGTCTACTTGACCCAGCTATCAGTTTATTATTAATCTTATGAATTAAAAAAACAATAACATCACCCAGACCCACCATTAATCACGACTCTACATGACTCAAAAATGTCCTACCCAGCCGATCATGTAGTACAGTTTGCATGCACAATTATTCAACGCCTTAAAAACGAGAAGCTTGCAACTTTATTTTTCTAAAGACAGAAAACAAAATACCTTGGGATTTAACTTTCTATATTTTTTTCATCTTGTTGACCAGTAACATATTCCTTCTAAAAAGTTCATACTTCTTCAATGAGACAAGTTGGCTTACGAGACCTAGAGTGGGACTACTATAACTTAATTAATATCGTCTGGAAAACAAAGTAATGAAACTACATAAAGCTACTTCCTTTTTCTCTCAGTTCATCCACGTTTAACACAAGCCCAAGAAAGAACATTTACCCTAGAAACAAGAAAAACAGTAACAACCATAAAGATTCATATGAAGATTTTCAAAAAAGAAATGTTTAGTCAAATTATCTCAGAACCTACTCACTTTTATATGGAAATTCTATTTTCATAGATATCCCTCTCTAATTCCGAAAATAAACGAACAACTTTCACTTAAAATTATTATAGAATAAAAATAATCGTTAACCAAGGAAAAATTCACATGAATACTCGTACGTCATGTTTGATTTGTTATTGTAGTAATTGTTTCAAAAAATAATATCAAAAAAGAATCAAGACCATGAAAACGCTACAACCATGTACAACATTGAAGCAAACGCTATCGTTTTTAGGGATCTGTTCTTTCTTTTCCCACGTTTTGCACCTAACTTTACTACCACAGACCAGCTAGCTACTGCATGCTTTAATAAAGAAACTAATGTCCATTCGACTCATGCCCGTGAATGATAACAAACAATAAAAAGATAGTGTTTTTGTTTATTACCATAGACTGAGGTACAACAGCAGGGCATCTTTTGCTCCTATCAATAAACGATAGTTTCTTTGTTTGTTTTTTTCAAAATGTTTTCACCAAATATGAACAACAATTTTCTTTGGGATTTTCTTACATTCCCAAAAATAAGATTCTTATCCGTACAAAAGAATTCATGTTATGTATCGAGCAATGAACAAGGACATCAAGTTCCAAGGTAGTAAATTGTCAAACCTGTTCTAAAACTAAATTAAAATTCATCCTTTTTCCCGACTTCGTAGGGCCTCATTTAACATCAAATAATTTATGGACATGGGTGGATTATAATATCAATGCTCTTGATGGTCTTCTATGTAAAAATATATAAATAAAACGCATTACGGTAAGTTATCAAACGAGTGATAGTGATTTCAATAAAAGTTTTTTATTATTATTTTAGTTGTACCTTATACAAGTACATATTATAAACGTGATCACAAAACTTTTTTACACTGTCACATCATTTCACATCATTAATGCCAGTGCGGCATCCGGAAGACAATACCATCAGGAACCATCCAATGCTGGTACTCAGTGTGAGGGACTGAGGGGCAAGTAGATCTGAGCCCATCGTAAATTAAGGTGACGTGGTGGCTTCTCGGAATGGAGATGTATAGAGGGTACTCGAGGCTTCGAGCAGTAGGGTTAGGATGGATTAGGAGGAAAATCCGTTTGGAACGGATCAGTTCGTTGACAAAACGGTCGTTATATAAGTGGTGTTTGCTTAGGACTTTTGACTGGAAGGATTGGACGTTGAGTGGCTAGGCAGATCTCACAGTTCCACTCCCTATGTCCACGTGGATACTGGTTTGACTTCTAACCTCTGCCTAAGAAGGCACTTGCACCGGATAGGAGAAGACTGAAGAAACACTGTGCACATACTGCCAGGAAGAGGAGGAGACCTCAGAACAAATTTTTTGTGATGGTCTTTGTAGGAGCAGATTCTTGCAACTAGGAGTGGAAAAGACGTAAGCAAGATCCTAATCTACGGATCCGCTGACAAGGCTATGGAGGTTGATTAACAACCTGAAACGGGCCAGAGAGTTATAAAAACAAAGGAGCACAATAGATCTACTCAGATCGAGGTGCAGAAGAACTTGCGGCCGGTTATTTTCTCCCTATCCTTATCACAAACTCAATACCCAAGGTATCATCAATTCTACTCAATGAAATAGTCTTTAATTCTGAATAACTTCAATCGGGGGATGCTTTCTACTCTGAGGATTGTTACAATTGTCGGCAGTAATGGGCAGCGTTCCCAGAGCATGTTTTTCTGTTAAGACAGCCTGTGTATTAACTGCTATTATGACTGGGTCAATGATGCCTTGGGAAACATTTAACACAAGCGTATTTAGCGTTTCGTTTCTCCATTGTTCACGCGGAGGTGGGTCAGAACAATACGAGGACAATTAATAAAGGCCTGGCATGTGCTGTGCGAGAGAAAAAATTATTGAAAATGCGATTTTTCTTTCCCGGGCTTTCACTAGTGGAAAGACATGAGTAAAAGGTCAAGAACAACGACAACTGCTTGGGTTAATTTAACTGTATGTACAACAAGCGGATTCCTCATTCCTCGCGGAAATAATTGGATTAGCTTCTAATAAACAAAACGGATATTCTTAAAATGTTTAATGTTTTATGTCTATCGGTATTATAAGAAATCAAAGTGAATCGAAAAAACTCAATGCGATTGGAAATGGTAAATGCATTATGCTAATGTATGCAGATTTGCAATCGAAACCCTGTTACTTTTTCCATGGCTGGCGGCAAATAACTGTCGGTGACCTGTTTCTTTTTTTGATTTCCACGAAACCGCCCATTACATTAAACGGGATTGGAAAGATAACGCCTTTATCTCTAGGGACAAACATAAAGCGTACTTACCGCTTGTTCGGACGGGCCGCTCCTGTCGTCACCTGCAACAGAAAAAAATACCATGTTAAGTTTGATCATAAAACCGGAGTCTGCGATCAAAACCGTCATAAAGCGTATATTTAAAACGCTAAATGGGTCGCTGTTATATTCCAAATCGCACGGAGTCAAAAAAGACTCGAGTGGCTATTCGTTCGGCCAGGTTTTCCCAGGGCCCCTTTTTTGGGCATTGAGTGGGCGAATGAAACGACTGGGTCCTTCTTCCAAATTGGACCGTTTTGCGGACAAGAGCCGCATTGAAAGAAGGAGCCGAGCAGACGAAACGATGGCATCAAAGATAAAAGGCGGCTAGCGACGAGCGTGAAACAAGAGATTTCTGCGGTTTAGCCGCAGATTAAGTACCGTAAACACGGCCTCGTCGCCGATTTACCACCGATTGCCCGATTTTCCTCCTCCCATCGAGGACACTATTAAATCCGAATTGGATAATTTGCGATGAATTAAGACCCGTAGGATGCTCGCTCACTCCCTGTCACACGTATTTTTATGATTTAATAACGTTTTTAGGTACAAAATTGCTAAAGGATGTTATTGAAAGTATAAAATCATCGATTGGATGACAATGATTACGCATCTAACTTAAAGCAATTTCATAGGAAGCAGAATTGTCTGTATAATTCCTATCGGTCTTAAAGTCGAGCAGCTTAGCAAAAATTATGAAAAAATTCACCAAAACGTTCTTTTGGAAGGCATCGAGGGTGAATATTACCGAGAATTCATTATAGTTCATGGCCTGCTGAAACGGTTGAAATTAGAAACCTTTCATCCATTGATTCATGGTTAAAAGAATGTAATTAATCCATTATATTTAGTGGTCTATTGACAAAATTACTTATTTCAATTAATTTGGGGACCGCGGTAGCCGAGTGGTTAGCATGAGAGACTCTCACGCCGCGGTCGTGGGTTCGATTCCCACCGTCGCCTCTGGCCCTTTTTTCCCGATAACCCCCAATTTGAACACATAAGAATTCGTACTATGGCTAATATGCAAGATCATAAGGCCAATATAAAAAAAAAAAAAAAAATCTTTTATGTAAGGTTTTGGTTGAAATGAAAAAGTTAGGGCCACGAGCGGGATTCGAACCCATGACCTTGGGCTAAATACGCCGCTGCTCTACCGCTTGAGCTATCATGAATTCGAACCACTATCCATGAAAATGGCAAAAAGGAGGGAAAATTCGAAAGGTTGTAGGTTGAGATGGGGAGTTGGTGTCCGAGTGGATGAAGAATGTAATTAGTATTATTTATCGACGGAAGCAAACAAGAGAATGGAAACTTGGGTTCTTCAATTGTTGTTGCCTACCACAGAAACGAAAAAATTCCATCAGGAAAGTACAGTCTACAAATATTTTTCTCAAATAAAGCCGAAGAACCTGCGATTTCTAGGGATTTGATCTGGATTAACGCTGGTCGGATGCATACAAGCGGGGATCCAAAGAAAATTATCATTCGTACAACGGTGGCAATCAAATCAGTAAGGAATCCGAAGAACCATGTCTAGTTAAGCGTAGATGTCAGGGTTCAAGCCAAACAACTGACAGATGCTGAAAAACAACTGGCTTTGCTTTGAAAGCACCTATCGGAATCCAAGGCAATTATGAAGCGGACCGACTGGCCAAAGAAGCTGCTGATGACATTCGACTAACAGTAGAATATAAATACCCGTCGTCCTTATTTAAAAAAATACCAATTCGAAAATATCCTTACAGAATGGGATCTTGCATGGAAGTCAACCGAAGTGGAGAGGACGAGAAATTTTTTTTAAAATGTAGAAGACAGGAACGGATTGACTCTCAATAAGGGCAAAGTTGGACATGGGCCCAGTATGAAATATCTGCAAAGGATTGGAGTGACATCACCGGCGTACGTTTGCGGCAATCAGGTTCAGGACGTGGATCATCCTCTGCCTGAGCTGGATCCTAAGAGCTGATACGACACTAGCCTTCACTCGAATAAACCTCCTCAGGCCAAACGGTATAACAGGGTTTGAACAATTCCTTCAAAATTGAACTTGCGGGAAATGAACAATATATAATATAATTAATTTTTAATTTAATTTTATATTCACTAGTTTCGTGGTCCGCTTGACCAATTAGTATCTTTCAATTAATTAAGGTTTTTAGTTGAGATAAAAAAGTCAGTGTCACGAGCGCGATTCGAACCCACGATCTTCGGCTAGATACGCCGCTGCTCTTCTACTTGAGCTATCGTGACCTCGATCCACTCGGACACTAACTTCCCATCTCAACCCCAACTTTTGAATTTTCCCTCCTTTTTGCCATTTTTCAAATGTCTTATAATCTATTTGATTCACGGCGACGAATGAAATGGCCAGTGTTAGAGCAGCGGCGAATCTAGCCGAAGATCGTGGGTTCGAATCCCGCTCGTGACACTGACTTTTTTATCTCAACTAAAAACCTTAAGTAATTGAAACATTTTAATTTTATAATTAAGATGAATAATATGATGTAAAATTTAATAATTTAAATGTATCTGTATTACATATAATACAATAACGATTCATGTAGAAAATAAATTAATAAATAAATGGAAAAAACGCACCTAACTTCAGTTGGCTACATTTTTTCCAAATTGAGTCCAGGACCAATTTTAAACTCGCGAACAATAGAAATATTTAATCGATAAATCAGTTCAAGTTCATTTTATCTCAAATACACTACATATAAGGGAAGGAATTCAACAATAAAGAGACTTGCTGGAGATAATTGGACAGAGTGATTTGCTAGCGTATGGCATAGTCGATCTTTGCAGCCGTCACGCTTTTATCAGCAGATGATACACTTTCACGTAATGACCAAGGACAATTTATAAGGACACGAGGAAATTCGACATTTTCGAATCGCTTTTTCTTTTACCTTATATGAACTTTTTTGTACATATACAAGAAAATACAATAATTATCTAAATAGAGTAAATTGTTACATTTTCTCGTCGAAAAATGATAAATGTCAGGAATTTTATAATTACAGAGTTAGATTTAACTAAAAAACTTATTTATTACTGAAGTAGATAATGATAAAATGATTATTATAAATAAGATCAATCTCATCACTCAATTCTACTGCCATATATGAAGTCTGTAGGACACGTTGACGCAACATTAAAAATCTCTCTTGAGAAAATTTATATTTATTTGCCTTTCGTGCTTATAAATATGCAGATTCGACTCACACGACACGACCCGAAAACTATAAATTTTCCTCTTGGACAAGGAAAGGCCGGCCGCTGTGCGTGGAACGGTCCCAGTCTGAAAATCACGAGTGCAATTTTGCCAAGAACAAAGAATATCTATCGATAACCCGAAATTCACGTTCAATCACGTCAACTGGATCGACCGATAAGGGCGTATAACACCAAGTTTAATAAATCCAGGGATTAAGCCTTAAGAGAGATAAATCCTTTGTATTCCTGATATCACCGTTGTTTAACCTTTCAGTCGGTGAAAGTCCGTAAAGCTGATTAAGTTGGAAATATTTGACTTTTAGGTCGCCATAAAACTTTTGCAGTCCTCGTTTAATAACAGTTTTATCTATTTATGAGAAAATCTTTCAATCAAGGATAGATTACAAAAGCCCCGATTTGGTGAAACATCGAGGTTTCGTTTTGTGAGGTTTTCGTCTGTCAAATTCTGAAGCTAAAACGAGATCAACAGGGTTTAAGATATATTTACTTTCTACGTAACAAAAGTAACTCTTCCCTTATATTAAAATATACCACACCGTTATATAATCTCAAATTCAATATGCCTTGGTATGCTGGGGGAGTGCATATGAAAATGCAAAAAAACAATCAGTAACAGACAAAAATTATTCATGCAATGTTTTTTCAATACAAATTGAAATACTCCCTCCCTGCCCTCTTCTTCAAATACCATATTTTACCTGTACCATCTTTACCTTTTCTGAACCTTGAGAGAAGTTGAAACTATATCGACAAATATTTTTTAAAAAAATATGGTAGGAGATGTCCTATAAATAACGTGTTGTTCCAACCAAAATTAACGTTTATAATATTTATGTTGAATTGTTTTTTGTATGTAGGCCCTAAGTGGTACCACTTAGTCCATAAAGAGATCAAATGTAATGTAAACAGTATCTACTATTTATTTACTTTTTTAGTTTTTCATGTTTGTTTAATCTATTCTAACAAATTGTAACTATTATTATTACTTTTTTTCCTACGCGCTTAGTAATGTTCCCCCTTCACTATTTTTCACCTCAACTTTTTTTTATCACCGTATTGCTGACAGCCCTCAAACAGGATCTACCTCAAGGGTGCCTAAAGCAACAACTTTAGTTACATAAATGTATATAGTTTTCTTTTGTACTAGGAAATTTGTACCAATTGTATCTCTTTTTTTCTGTATTATGTATTAGCCTAATAAAGTTGCTGGGAAAAAAATCTTTTCGGTGCAATGTCCTAACCAATCTAATATTATGGATGTATTTTCATATATGGGAAATTTTAAGTGCCTATTAAATTACTGTTAAATTATTCTACGTAATTAATCTATTGGTGCAGCCTACTGGACTACACTACACACCTAACCTATTTAAAACCTTGCATCACAAATCATTAGTCACTATATCGTAGGTAGTAGAACTCTATTTATTTTATTTTTTTAATCAATGTACTTATATACTAATTTAATATATTTGATTGCACATATTTATAACAATTTCTTTATTTAATCGGACTTTCATGGAAATTTACACTGTAAACGTTACAACGTTTTCCCAAAACATAGCTTTAGATTAAAGTAATTTTTATTTATTATTATTAATAAAAAGGCGATCAACCTCCACAGGTTATATTCCGCCTTAGTACTCATAATCTTTAAGATTTGGTGTCTGAGCATCTCCGGGAGCGGACAAGGAGGCGAGCCGGACAACACAACGCATCCCCAGGCACTAAAACTAAAAACTGACAGTGAGGTTGCATTATCTAAAATTCAAAACCAAAC